TATTTTCCCCCTCTCTCTCTCTCTCTCTCTCTCTCTCTCTCTCTCTCTCTCTCTCTCTCTCTCTCTCTCTCTCTCTCTCTCTCTCTCTCTCCCTCCCTTCTCTCTTTCTTCCTCTCGCGGTATTAATACGTTTCCATTCGCAAGACTGAAAAACCACTTGGCGTGACGCGCGAGTTGATTTAGCTCTGAAAAATAGCAGTGAACGCGATGAGCGCGGATAAAATTCATATTAGTGATACGTATTCCAGGCAGGATAGGCAAAATGCGAACGATCGTGTGATTACTGCAAAGTACTTTCCTATGAGAGAATTCCGCTGGTATAATAAATTCTCGTCGTGTGATATATTACCGCGGGATGATACACACGAAAATCATTCCGCAGTGCGCGATACCTTTTGTTTTTGGGCAGTGACCGAAAACGCGATATCTCTACGCGAAACCGCCGCTAATTGGTTAGGCAGGCATGATAATCAGCGGCACCAACGGCGCTATTACTCGCGCGAATTAAAAGCGCTCTTAATGCTAACGTGGGAAATAGTCTGATTGTTCCTTGTCTACAATCGACGAGCATTGTATAGCTTCGTACCGGCTTCGTTGAAGAATCGCCGAATCATTTAAGAGCGCACGTTTCTTCCCTTCTCTTTTTTTTTTTCAGGTGGTTACGTTACATCCTCGCTTTATCAAGTCGAGCCGACGTGAGTAACACGTTGCGACTGTTAATTCACAAACGCGTAGTATCGTCGAAAGACGCCTTACCAAATGCGGCGTTCTAAGAAAATCAGGAGAATTATAAGTTTACTTCTAGGCGACAATCGTATCCTTGAAAAATACAAGCGCGCGGTATCTTGCCTGCATTTTCTCCGTCACGTTCTTCCCGAATACAACACGAATCCTTAATTCCCGGACTCGGAGCGAAGCCGAGAGTTGTTCGGGCTTGTTACTGACTGTTGGATTCAGTCAATCGATGGCCTTCATCCGAAGTGCCGGAATACGTCCTCGTGGGAAACGCGCGCTTGGGGTGCCTACGGGGGTGGTGAGCTGGTGTGCGCGCGGCTCAACCCCCGCTCTCTCGTGATGTCGAGGCGGTTACGCGAAGCCTCCACGTTAATCACATATCCGTGCACGCGAGTACCCACCGTTTGTTTACCCACTGACGGCTCTAATGAATAGCAAAATCGAGCCAACGCTACTGCCGCCACCGCCGCCACCGCCACCGCTGCCGCCGCCGCCGCTGTTGCTGCTGCTGCTGCTGCCGCTGTTGCTCTGCTGCCGGTACCGCCGTTACGCATCCTACCCCGATACAGGGGTGCGTACGGTGCGTACACTCGAACCATCCCCTTGCCGTCGCTCCATTGACAAGCTGGAGGCGAGAATTACACGCGTGGATGCAGCTGCACCGCCGACCCCGTTCAAAGATGAACGGCGCGTCGGAAATCAGGGAAATATTCCGTTTACCTGATTTATCGGCGGATACGCGGTGTTACTGTTCATCGGGCTGTGCGGTTAATTGACGCGTGGCCGTTCACTTCGTATAACACCACGCCGGTAATTCCCGCGCCGACGTCGACACGTCGGGCTGCAGTGGGTGCTGATAAACCGTTTTTCCGTGAGCGCCAAGCGCGCCGCAATTAATGGCGCGGAAGTCATTGTGCAAGTAATTGATTCCGCGGTGAAATGCACGCCATTGACGTGAATTGTTTTCTTTTTTTCAGGTGAACGCTGGCGGATCCATCGTTCTACCGGTGTGTGCTGATCGTCGTGTCTCTTCGGCCCCGGCGATACTCATTGTGGGCAAATGGAAAAGAACGGGATTAGGCGAGACCAGCTACTTCTTATCAGCAGACGGGATCGCGACTTTTACGTAAGATGCGAAGTAATTTGTAAGAATAAGAACCTAATATTAGCTTATATTACCCTTACAGAAATTTATTATTGGCTATAATAAATTGGTCAATAATAATAATAAGTAATTTTATTATTCATAAGAGTAATAAATTTGATAATAAGTAATTTTATTATTTAAAAATGATAACAAGTAATTTTATTATTCGTACGAGTAATTTTATTACTCGTATGACACTGTTGTTTACCCACTCGTACTCGTACGAGTAATTTTATTACTCGTACGAGTAATAAAATTACTTATTATCATTTTTAAATAATAAAATTACTTATTATCAAATTTATTACTCTTATGAATAATAAAATTACTTATTATCAAATTTATTACTCTTATGAATAATAAAATTACTTATTATTATTATTGACCAATTCATTGACAACTCGTCATTGACAACTAGTACGAGTAATAAAATTACTTGTTCTTTGTTACTGGCCAATTTATTACAGCCAATAATAAATTTCTTCTAAGGTATATAGTTTTATATTCTATTATTGTAATGTTATTATATTATTATATTATATTATTATATTATATTATTATGTATATAGATTGTACATTTGTCAAAGAAAAATAAAGATAATATTCAAATGTAATTATATTTTTTCTTCATTCAAACCTCCTTATACACCTATTTTCCTAAGATTATGCACTTCTTCGCTTATTATATTTTCCTGATACTTCCGCAAAACTTAAAAATCTGCGGATCCTCCATTTCCGCGTTTTGGTATCAGGAGAATATAATGACCGAGGAGGCATTCGAGATTCTGGCGACAAATTTAAAGTTTCTCCATATTTGCGTTTTGGTATCAGGAGAATATAATGACCGAAGAGGTATTCGAGATTCCAGCAGGAAATTTAAAGTTTTTCCATATTCGCGTTTTGGTATCAGGAGAATATAATGACCGAAGAGGTATTCGAGAATCCAGTGAAAAATTTAAGGATCCTTCATTTTCGCGTTTTGGTATCAGGAGAATATAATGACCGAAGAGGTATTCGAGAATCCAACGGGAAATTTAAATTTTCTCCATATTCACGTTTTGGTATCAGGAAAATATAATGACCGAAGAGGTATTCGAGAATCCAGCGGAAAATTTAAAGTTTCTACATATTCGCGTTTTGGTATCAGGAGAATATAATGACCGAAAAGGTATTTGAGATCCCAGCGGAAAATTAAAAATTTCTCCATATTCGCGTTTTGGTATCAGGAGAATATAATGACCGAAGAGATATTCGAGATTCCAGCGGAAAATTTGTAGTTTCTCCATATTCACGTTTTGGTATCAGGAGAATATAATGAACGTGGAGGTATTCGAGATTCCAGCGGAAAATTTAAGAATCCTTCATTTTCGCGTTTTGGTATCAGGAGAATATAATGACCGAAAAGGTATTCGAGAATCCAGCAGAAAATTTAAAGTTTCTCCATTTTCGCGTTTTGGTATCAGGAGAATATAATGACCGTGGAGATATTTGAGATTCCAGCGGAAAATTAAAAATTTCTCCATTTTCGCGTTTTGGTATCAGGAGAATATAATGACCGTGGAGATATTTGAGATTCCAGCGGGAAATTGAAGGATCCTTCATTTTCGCGTTTTGGTATCAGGAGAATATAATGATCGAAGAGGTATTCGAGATACCAGCGAAAACTTGGTAGTTTCTCCATTTTCGCGTTTCGGTATCAGGAGAATATAATGACCGAAGAAGTATTCGAGGTTCCAGCAGAAAATTTAAAGTTTCTCCATATTCGCTTTTTGGTATCAGGAGAATATAATGATCGAAGAGGTATTTGAGATACCAGCGGAAAATTTGTAGTCTCTCCATTCTCGCGTTTTGGTATCATGAGAATATAATGGCCGTGGAGGTATTTGAGATTCCAGCAGGAAATTTAAGGATCCTTCATTTTCGCGTTTTGGTATCAGGAGAATATAATGACCGAGGAGGTATTCGAGATTCTAGCGGAAAATTTAAAGTTTCTCCATTTTCGCGTTTTGCTATCAGGAGAATATAATGATCGAGGAGGTATCCCAGATTCCGGCGGAAAATTTAAAGTTTCTCCATTTTCGCGTTTTGGTGTCAGGAGAATATAATGACCGTGGAGGTATTTGAGATTCCAGCAGGAAATTTAAGGATCCTTCATTTTCGCGTTTTGGTATCAGGAGAATATAATGACCGAGGAGGTATTCGAGATTCTAGCGGAAAATTTAAAGTTTCTCCATTTTCGCGTTTTGCTATCAGGAGAATATAATGATCGAGGAGGTATTCCAGATTCCGGCGGAAAATTTAAAGTTTCTCCATTTTCGCGTTTTGGTGTCAGGAGAATATAATGACCGTGGAGGTATTTGAGATTCCAGCAGGAAATTTAAGGATCCTTCATTTTCGCGTTTTGGTATCAGGAGAATATAATGACCGAGGAGGTATTCGAGATTCTAGCGGAAAATTTAGTTTCTCCATTTTCGCGTTTTGCTATCAGGAGAATATAATGATCGAGGAGGTATCCCAGATTCCGGCGGAAAATTTAAAGTTTCTCCATTTTCGCGTTTTGGTGTCAGGAGAATATAATGATCGAGGAGATATTCCAGATTCCGGCGAAAAATTTAAAGTTTCTCGATATTCGCGTTTTGGTATCAGGAGAATATAATGACCGAAGAGGTATTCGAGATTCCAGTGGAAAATTAAAAATTTCTCCATATTCGCGTTTTGTTATCAGGAGAATATAATGACCGAGGAGATATTCGAGATTCCAGCGGAAAATTTGTAGTTTCTTCATTTTCGCGTTTTGGTATCAGGAAAATATCGTGGAGATATTCGAGATTCCGGTGGAAAATTTAAAGTTTCTCCATTTTCGCCTTAGGTCGGGATTAAAGTCAAATTTGGGGTCACAAAAAATAGAACTTTATAAACCCTAAAACTTTTATTCGGATCATTTTTCCCTAATGCATAGATTCTAAGATAGGGGGAGGGGGGTCAATTACTTTTGGAAAACTTGGTATATTACATAAAATTTTATTAGAGATTATGTAAAACTTCTCAGATTACATGAAATTATAATATAAATATAATATTTTATAATAGAAAATATAATATTTTACGATCATTGATTTGTTAAAAAGTGTCAAAGATTCGTCGAGAGAGACAGAAAAGAGATTTGAAGGCGACAAGGATACAAGTCTCTTTTCTGTTTTCATCTCTGTAGCGGCGACCTCCAACTTGAGATATCCGGAGCTTTATATTTACGAGGCATTGGAAAACGGGCGCGGATCGGCGGGTCGGTGCGTCGCCCTCCTTTTCGGATATTCTTTCAATATCGAGGGGAATCTTTAAGTGGCTCCGCCAGCAACAGGTTGTAAATCCGTTTTTTAAGGGATCTACCGCCACCGTTCGGTTTGAGGTCGCGAGGGTAAAAGAGAACTCCTTCGGGAGATTTGTTCGTCCTGTTCGCTCTCTTCCTCTCGCAGCGCAGTATCCTTTCGCCCTCGCCCAGGCCTCTTATCGTCTTGTTCCCTCCGAAACTCCCGTCTAGACACGAGCCAGCCAACCTTTGCACGTTTTCCAATCACGCCGTTTCCTTCCCCGTTCCACCGCCACTGAGGATCCCTCAACGACTACACGTTACGGAGGGTTACGGAGGGAAAAAGGATTTCCTGTCCTTGGAAATTCGTTGTTCGGTCCTACACGTCTTCCTTGGAGTCGGCACAACGAGTTCCACGTAACGAGTTTATTTGATTTCCATCCGGAATTCGGCCTGGGGGAGACTCTTCATGTGTGCGTTTCAGTTGTGGCACGCTGAAAAAATAAAAGACCCGTTATTTAGGATTAGATTTGTTTTCGGTAAATCATTGAAGGTTGCATGCAAAGATAAACTAACGTAGCCTCGTAACAGAGAGAATTCTCGTCTACAAGAATCAAAGTATTCGAAAAATTTCGGAACATCGCGAAACGCGATTATCAATTATCAAGAGTAACGATGGCGCACGGTGTGCTCGAGATTCTTCTGTGATATACCTCGCTCCGTGAAATCAGCGCCAAACTTTACGTCCGGAGTCAACTACATGGTCACCGAACATTACGATTCTCGGAACGCAGTCCCGGTCGCAAAGAGGAGCAATTGCACGCGAATCGGCCGGCAGATCGGAAGTGCGCTCTTCGACAATTCGCTTGGACAATGACCATGAAATGACATGAAACTAGCCGTGGTGACTTGACCGACAAATTACGCGGAATGTGTTCGTGAAAAGAATAAAGAGGCGAGGAAGGGGCCAGAGCCGGCGCAGAAATCCACTCGGTCGTTTCTGTGAGACCGGATGCCGGGCAATCATTTATTTTATATTAATCATGTCCGAGCAGGAAGAAGGGCCAGCGGGTTTTACCGGCGGCATGGCGGAGAAAGAGAGAGAGAGAGAGAGAGAGGGGGGGGGGAGAATGGGAGAGGAAGGGAGGGAAGTTCGACCAGTGAGGAACGAAAGATGAACGGTAGAATTCGTTTGTCGTATTCGGTCGTTCGGTTTTTCAAGCGACGGCCACGAGAAAAGAGCCGTGATGCATATCATTAGCCGTGATGCGGTGCCTGGATTCAAGAAGGAAACCGCCTTCATGGCAGACGTGTACGTGGATTGACAGATTCCTGTACGCTATTGTTGCCATAGTCATGCCCGTTGCCCTCTACAAATCACTCCTCCGCCGCGCACCGGTCTTCTTCCTTTTGTGGAGAGACCGACATCTCTCAGCGCGTGTTATTATTCCTTCCCTTTAACTTTCGTCGATTGTTCCACGTGTCTAATTTTACGTTTCTTTTTTGCGACCGCGCCAGCAAAGCATCTCATCCACCATGTCTCCTGCTGTCCATTTTCCTCGCGGGAGGAACATCGACCGAGACGACCACGACGAGAGGAGGTTCCGAAAATCCGCCGAGGAGGCAGCCGAAAAAGCGCCTCCTACGACCGCCGTTCCCGTGCAGTTCCGGTTCTCACACTTGGCTAAACAAATAACCGACGTTAACGAGAGTCAATCAATAACCGTCGGATAACGACCGGTTTCGCGAAAGAAGCGCGATCGAGCCGTGCGTTTCGAGCTCCGCCCTTGAAATCTTGCAGACACCTTCGAGGAACGATCCCATTGCCGCGGGTTCCCGCGAGATTCTTCGGAATTCCAACGAGATGTCTGTACTCTCTCTCTCTCTCTCTCTCTCCCTTCCCCGCTCTTTCTCTCGATGGGGTAATCATACTCTCTCTCTCTCTCTCTCTCTCTCTCTCTCTCGAGTATGATTCACCCGCTTTGAGCCATCCTTTCGGTCCGACGCTGATAACAGGCGCGCGTGTTGAGGTTCGCCTTATTTATTTTCTTTATCCGCACACACTCACGCGTTCTTACACCGATGGCGTGAAAGCGCGAGGACTTATTTTGTGTATGCAGATGCGCGACGACGAGCTTGCTTTGCGAGGCCGGGGAGAAACTCTGTGAAAAAAAAAAAGAAAAGATGGACTCGCGCCAGAGTGCGTTGCATATTGCCTTTAGTGACCGGGGACGAAAGAATAATAGCAAATATTGCCCGGCAAAGGGAGGGACTTCCTTCAACGGACTTGCCCCGTGATGGAGTCCTTTGCATACGTGACGAAGGTGGACGACAACGACAATGTCATGGCGGAAGTAATTTCCGAGATGAGCGGCCGAGACACGACTTGCAATAGTGGTTGAACAGTCAAAGTGGGCTCATTTTGGCATATATAGCAGATCCGCGACGGCGAAGGGACACTTTGTAGGGAGGTCATATCCTGTTCACCCCGGCCTTACTATCCTGACCGGTCGCGCACATTAACCCACGGGGGGAGAAGTAATTTTCTGAAGAAGACACGCAAACCGTAGCGGACACCCGCGTGAAAAGATAGGTTCGTGTGCGCCTCGCGCGGCCGGTCCAGAGACGCAGAGTGCGTGCGACTTATCGGTTTGTCCGAGTTGTCGCAAGGTAAACACAATTCGCAAGTGGGAGACAAGCGCGTCTCTTTTATCGCTTCGTCTTCGCGCGCGCAAACGACACGCAACGACGGCGACGGCGATATCGCTCGTACGAAAAAACGCTCGATGCTCTCGGCGCATACGGACGAACAATGAATTACAGCCGAGACCGTGCGGCTCTTTAATTACGATCGCGGCGTATTGTACGCTATAATTAGGCGCGCCTAATTCCCGTGAAAATCATGTTTTCAGTTGTCCGGGCGAGGAGATACGAATCGTGGTTGCGCCAGTGAACGATTAACGGGGCCAAGTATTGTTGGCGTCGCCGAGTCAGAGAAACTATGAGGGAAAGGAACCGGCGTAACAGTAGTTTCGGCCTAAATTGTCGTGATTATCGCTCCGACAAGTGCGATCTCTTATTTCCTCTTGCGCGTCGCGCGCGAGAGAGCGTCTCGCGAAAAGAAGCGGAAAAGAAGAAAGGAAGGAAGAACAATGACGATGTCTGAAATATCATTGAGGACGCGGTGGAAGCGTAACTTTACAGCGTAAGCAAGGGAAATATTTTCAGGGCATTGTGTGCGGCACACCGGCAACCAGGTGTGCGTTGGATAGTCCAACCGATCATTACGCACGATGATGCGATTCTGAAATTGATCGGAATTAAGACAGCCATCGTGATTGTCGGTTGCGCGAGCGGATAATCGGCGCTTTCATCTCCGAGTTATGAAGGCGCGTCGCGACGTGCGCGCGCGGCAGCTCGCCTCGACTCCGAGCGCGTAGTTTTACGCGCTCGGAGTCGTAGATACGCCCCGGCGTGCGGCGTGAATCGTGTAAAACCGCCGTGCCCGGCCGCGGCAAATCCACCGCGAGGAATCACGATCACGCGCGCGATCGTGACTGCGCGCCGTAATTTCGAGCGGCTGAATAGGGTCGCGCGCCTTTCTGGACCGCACGGTAGCCGTACGTCGTCACTCTTGTCTCATTCGTGAGTGATCACGGCCGATCGTATTGTGACAGGATAGCGATTGGTACGTCAACGAGGCGAGCATAGCCCCATTGTGCCGCAGTCACGTATATCAGGAACTGAACAGTCATCGCCTCCTCCGATATAACGACGGATAGAAACTTTTGTGTCGACTCACGACCCCCCTCCCCCCCTCGGGGAGGCCCTCCGCCGTTAACGTTTAACCTGACGACGGAACGCGAGCGCGCACGAGCGCGCGCGCGCCTCTTTAAAATGATTGTTCAGAATCGGAACTTGTCGTCGACTGGTCTGAGCCAACCAGGGCGTGTATTCTCACGTCGTCGTCGGTGGGGCGGTATTGGTGTCTATAGAGAGAGGTTATCCCGATAACTGCCGGGACCAGAGACGCAGGTAAATTGACGCAGAAAATTAACGCGAGTCTGTGTAACATCGAAAGTGACTTTGGACGGAGAGGGACGTGGAGGGCAAACGTTAAAAGTAACGTATAATTTCTTCGTCGGGTGACTCGGGAGAGCAGAGCGCGGGTGATAAAATCGGGATTACAAGGAAACTGCAAATAAATCTGCAAGGGTGAAGGTGAAGGAAATACACAGAGAGGAGAAAAATGCACGGTCGAATGAAACAATGCGAAATTTCTGATTCGTCGGCGTTTCGTCAGAAAATCACTTCGTTCGAGCAAACATTTCTCGCCGTGCAGAGAACACGTCGGCAGAATTGAAATTGACACATCGAAGACACACCCGAGTCGCACATGCCGGCGGATAAAGAAGAAACGCCGAGAGACGCGTGTTTCATCAGCGTCGCGCAGACGGCTGATAATCACAGCGCGGCTGCTTCAACAATATCGAATAATTAAATTCGCGTGTTTTCGGAGCGGCAGAATTCGCGAGAAACTGCCGTCGCGTACCGTTTTAACAACTCTAGCGGCGGGATCCTTTGCAACATACGGTGGTTTCATTATATTATTCCGTGCGAGCGATTCGAAAACGCGCGAGAGTCCTTGCAAGGCGATCGCGTCGCGATGAAAACGGGGCAGCTCAGGCTGCGAGCGAAAAGTAAAGCCGACACCATGGAAACGGCGCGCGCGGCCGTTGTGCGGCCGCTCGTATTCAGCGTTAGGAACTAATTAGCACGACGCTCGGATCGAAAAGGCAAGCGGCCTCGGTTATTAACGAAGAGAGGACGTAACGATCCTTCGAGCAGAGCCTGAGAGACCGCTGACGTTTTTATAGGTTTTCGCGAGGAAGGAAGCGATTCTCCGGCGAGAGAGCGATATGGTGCTCGAACACGACTTGTTAAAGGCTGCCTCCCCACGTGTAACAATCTTACGGCTCATGCGTGTCAATCGTTATTAAGCCGAGTGGCTTAATGCAACAGTGAAGAAGTAGGAAGTTTGCTCAACGACGCCGCGTTAACGTTCGATTTACGCGGATTTCTCCGGAACGATTACGATTTTGCGCGCGCGCGCACTTCATGCGTGCGCATCCGCGGCCGCGACCGAAGCGCGATCGAGATCGCCCTCGAGGAGAGCTGAACCCGCGTAGCCGCCGATCAGTTTCAGAGCAAACGCGAAACCAGACACGCCGTGCGTGTAATGGTATACGACGTCCAGGATCCTCGTGTCACGCTTGAAGCGGCGCGCCGTTAAGCGGCACGATTGCGCGAGCCGAGGCACACATCCCCATACCGGGCGATAGTCGTTTCATTAACGACACAATTGCGGTTTCGTTAGCGGGCCGATAAAAATACACGCCGTTATATCGCGAGTATCGCGCGAGTACGCGAGCTGAATTGCGCGCTCGAAAGTGGTTAACGCGGCCAGCGCCTAGTGCAACTGCGCGTCGTTAAC